TTTTGGCTTGGAGTTTCGGTGAGTTTTTATGCTTTAGCATCCTTGCATGCGTGTGAGTGCTGCCATGAATAGCATGCTTACCATGAGGCTATATGCTTATGTGATATAACTGCCTAAATGCCTGTGGGTGAAGGTTGGGTTACTTAAATTGGAATAAATCATCAAATGTTTCAAGCCTACCTGCGGGTAGCAAACCATTTTCAAAAAGCGAACATGAAATGTTTTGTTCCAATTCAGGCGATCCAGTCTATACTTGTATGTTGTGCGCATCACATAGTAACCCAGGCTAATAACCAGAGTAAGAACTCACAATGTTTTCAAAAATAGATATCATTGTTAGTAGAGGCCGGTCTCTGACCGGGCGAGCGGGGGTGCTCACGAAGTGACCTTCCCCAATCGTACCCAAGTTCCCGAGCCGAGGCAACTCTGGTGATGACGGACACGTGGCCTTAGGCAACGAGTCAGGGTTTCCTAAATTTCCCATAAATAAAATATTTAGGTGGCGACTCTGTCTCTGGCAAAGCAGTCCATGTTTGGCACTTCTTTCAAAAATCTATTTTTCTCAAAACGATTTGCCGGATTTGGACTCTTTGGTTCAGACTTAGAACCGTGACTACAAGTCGAGTCCGAGCTGTAGCGAGGTCCCCCGCGGGCTTGTCTACAAGGCCAAATAGTAAAAAAGGGTACCTCAATAAGACTACCTAATATACCTCTCACACCTAACACCGAGAAATGAAAGGAGGATCAAACGGTACAGCAGTAGTCTAGATCCAAGGGTTGTGTTCCCATTGTGGCAAAGCTCGTGATCGGTCAGCCTTTTGGTAAGCTTTTAGGCAAGCCTCCGGCAAACCGTCCAGGAATAACAGATGCCAAACACAGTGACTTAAACGTACCAATGCAAATGCAATGCAAAGAAATATAAGTGTGGATAAAATTTTATATCATGAAATTCAAGTCAAGTTCTCTAAATTCCCCAGTAGAGTCACCAGAAACTGTAGCTCGGCTTTTTCGCGCCCCCCCCTTTCGAAGGTTCGAATATAAGCCCTACAGTTCGGACTCTTGCGGTTCTGAATCTAATCCACAATTGCAATGTGAAATTGGTAAACACTAGAGAGTCCAAATCCGGTAAATCTTTTGGAAAATCGATTTTGAATCAAATTGCCAAAAATAGACTGCTTTGCCAGATATAGAGTCACCACCTAAATATTTTTAGGAAATTTAAGAAACCCATGACTCGTGCCAAAGGCTACATGTCCGTCACCACCAAGATTGTCTCGGCTTAGGAACTTAGGTACAAGAGAAGAAGGTCATGAATGCATTTGAGCACCCCCGCTCGCCCGATCAAAGATCGGCCTCTACTAATCATGATATGAATCTTATTTACATCATATGTTCTTGTTCCGGTTTATTAGGCTAGCATTACTATGTGATGCGTACACACATAAGTATAGACTAACTTGCAAGAATTGAAACACTTGATTCATGTTTGTTTTGAAATATGTGCCACTTGAAAAAGTGATCGCATATAAACATTACTCAATTTATTCCAATTCAAGCAACAAGCCTTCATCCACAAGCATGTAAGCAGTTATAACATTTAAGCAATTAGCCTCATGGCAAGCATGCTAGACATGACAACATCAACACTCATGCAATTATGCTAAAGCGAGTAAAAGGCTCACCTAGTACTCTAAGCCAAAATAAACAAAAGAGTTAGAAAAATGAATGATCCTAACTATGCGATATGACTAATGAAACACATGCGATATGCAATTAAATAGGCTCGGCTACTTAACATGGCATATGAAACAATTTGATAGCATGCGGTCTAAGCATGTATTCAAAGAAGTATTGAACTAACAATGCAGTTAGAATGATGCGCCGAGCCTCGGTGCATGTAGTACAAATGGATGCAGACATGGAGGATGCTAATTGAAACGTGATGTCCCTGAACTAACCATCATAAGTAGTTAAATGAAAGGAAAAAAGACGTGGGGTTGGAAGACATACACATTATTATATTGCGCTCTCACGAAGGAGAGTCCAAATGAATTAACTAACTAGCTAACTAATTAAAGCTAAGCTAATTAAGTTAACTATTACAAACCGAAATAAACAAACTAGCTAAGCTACTTAACTAATTATTACAACATTTGTATTAACTAACTAGTTAACTAACTAATTAAATAATTACAACGCAAGTGTAAGTAAAATAAGTAATTAAACTAAACAACTAGCTACTATGCCTCGGGAAACGAGAGATGTTCATGAGCATGCTCCGTTTCCATCCGAAAAGACCACTATTTTGCTTCTGAATGCCTCTGTTTGCACAGTTGAACACCAACATTGTTGCCCACTTCCGGAATAACTCTACTCCACCTTACCAACACACTGCTCAATTTTGCATCAATGGCCGGTCGGCCAATGATGAAGGTTGCCGACCACAATTGATGGCCAGCCGGCCATCTGCTGGCCACCTATCGGCTATGAAAAGTGGTCTGTCGGCCATTGCTGCACTGGTTTATCTTGCTACAACAGAAGACAAACAGAGCATATAAAGGGCATTTCAAGGGTTTCTTTGCACAACTCACCCCTCATTTTCATGAGCAAATCAAAAGAGTAGCAAGTTCGGTTCACAAACCATCAATGAATACAATTTCATTGCATGATGGCTTGTGAAACCAAGTGTGCAAGTTCAATAAATACAAAACATGACACAAACCTTCTCCCTTTCATGAATGATCAAGGGAAGTGGTGACCTTGGAACCTTGAATCATTTCATCACTAATGAGTATGAAATGGTTCAAGTTTCTATGTGTTCAATTAACATCTGATTGAACGTAACTAAATTATTATCTTACTCACTTTTAATTCCAAGTTTTAGTTACTCCATTTTAGTTACCTTTCCATCCTTTAATTCAATTAATTCCATGGGTGTGTTTAAGCCCTTTAATGGAAAGAGGACTCAAACCAAAAGTTGTTTTAGGCATGAAAGAGATATCATACCGTTGGAAATGAACCCCCTAAGGGATTAAACCATTAAGCATGACATCTCAATCTCATGCTTTAAACAAACAAATAGTTTGAACCACTTTCAAAGTAAAATAAAAAGCCAAGAAAGGAGGGAAGTTACAGAGATGATTAAGTGTTGAAAATGAGTGAGAAAAGTATAAATAAATGCTATCAACTCAAACAAGATGGTGTCTAAGGCCTAGAACACCAAACTCATGGGGACTATTACACTATAAACATGCAAAACAAAGCTCAAATGCAACTAATAGCTCAAAACAGTGCTAAAAAAGTCCAAAACAAGTCCTAAAACATGCTGGACTTGAGCTAGAAATAGCTAGATTATCATGCTAAAACATGGCACAAATTAGGCTAGTAAGCAAGACACAAGGAGAGGAGGCTAACTGTAGACACCCCATTTTTGACCGTCCTCAAGACTTGGACGTCACCGTTTGAACACCCAGTGATCATCCATGTTTGTGTTCGTTTGGAGTTCCCGGAGGCCTCGGCTACTCGCCTTGCCTCAGGATCTCCGAACTTGACTGTTTAGTGTCTGGTTTTGCACCAAACACTTGTGTTTTGCCTTGGAGGGGCAAGGAATACCTTGTGAGGCATCCCCACACATCACCGGCCATGGCCAAAGGCCACCGGCTGGTGTTTTGTTGCCATCGGCAATGTATATTGTCGGTCGGCCTTCTTTGTTGCCGGTCGGCAGTCCATTTTGTCAAAATGGCAATTTTGAGCAGCCGACTACTGTTCATCTGCTTTTGCAGATATTTTAATACAACTGTCTTGCATTTGGCTCCCCTCCATACACGTGTATGGAGGGATCTCTCTCCTTAGAAGCTTGTCTTGTAAGCTTTACAAGATAAGACGCCCTATAAAGAGAGGTCTTCTCTCTTGTTGAAAGGGTTAGACATTTTAGACAGCCATTTTAGAGTTTGAGTTCTAGGGTTAGGGTTTGTCTATATCCTAGCTCTATATCTCTCTTCCTCTTGTGTTAGTGTGTGTGTTTAGGCTCACTATTGCACACAAACACATAGTGTTACACCTTTTCTTGGTTCTTGAAGGGCCAGAGGCTTGTTCTTGAAGTTTTGGAGCTGTTTTGAGCTCAAGGAAGCAGCTGGTCCACCATTTGTGAAGAAGGTCTTCAAGGGTAAGAAGTTTGTCCCTTTATTCCCCATTTTTGCATTGTATTTTTGCCTATCTTAGAACTATTTTTGAGCTTAGTGTATAATATAAAAAAGTTCTATTTTTGGGCCCTCTAAATAGTTTGTTTAGAGTGTTTTGTGGTTTGGAGGTGTTTGACCCCTCTTAAGCCTTGAGGGGCTCCATTTTGTGCTATTTTGTGTGAGCTCCGAGACCTTGGTGTTTGAGCCTCCTCACCACTGAAATCTTGAGGGATTTCAGAGGTGAGGATGGTGCCTTGAGGTCTCAAGAAGAAGAGGGCCACCCCCTCTCCTTGTTGTCCTTGAAAAGGACCATTTTTGGCCTCTCGAGGGAGCACCTAGCTTAGGCTCATGTTGACAATGCCTTAGTTGATTTTTGTGCTTATTATGTCATAATATGCCTCTATTTTTAGTTGGTTTTGGTACACCATGCATGCTTAGCATACCTACCTTGTAATGCCATGTTTAGGCCTTAACATGCCTTAGGTTGTAAACCATTGTTCTAGCATGTTTTAGGCCTAGCTTTGTGAAACTTTTGTGCTTATTTTGCCATGCTTAAGGTCTGTCCATAGTTGTTTGGGTCGGCCATGGCATGCATTGTATAGCCCCTTTGCATTTTTGGCTTGTTGGCCTTAAGTGTGTGAATGTGTAGCAATGCATTACTTGCTTTATTTCAGTGGTTTGGCACCATTTGTAGCATCATTTTAGTCCCTTTGACATGCTTGTATGCTTGCCTTGGACACCTCTTTAATGCTTTGAAAGCTTTGTTGTATGCTCCATGTTTTGGTCATTATGTATGCTTTTGAATTCAAGCCATTTAGATGCCATCTAAGTGTCTTTTGGCTTTGTTTTATGTGCTAAAACTCTATTTTTGGTTCAGTTAAGTTGCCATGTTGGTCATATCAAGTGTAGTTCAATACTTCATTAGCTTGCCTTGAATGCTTGGCCATTTGTTGCATGTTTAGCCTATCTTGTTTGCTTGGTTTGGCACCATGTTCTTGCATGATTTTCAGAGCTTAATGCATGCCCCATGTCCATGATTACTCCTTTTGAGTGTGCTTAAAAGATGCCCTTGATGCTTAAGTGTTTAGGCCTTACCATGTCATGTGGTGTATTGTGTTGGTCCGCACCTTCTTAGCTTTTTGCCACTGTTTTGGACCTAACTTAGAGCCGTCCAATTAGTGTAAGTCCATCCCTTGTATGCCATTCAAGTGCTATTACATTATCTCATGTTTGCATGCTTTGGTTGCATGTGTTGCATGCTTGAAATCATTTGCATTTGGCATGCATTCCCTTGGTCAAATTACTAGCATGTTGCATGATTAGATTACATCTTGCATGCTCTAAGTAGTTTGCATAGTTGTGGCATGCTTGTTTTCCTTGTTACTTAGGTTGCGTACCTAATGTGCATTGCATGTTTGCATGCTCCCTTTTATACCATGTTGCATGTTAGTTAACATGCTTAGGTTGCATTGAACATGCATGCCTTGTCCCTTGATTTAGTGATAAGGATTGGGCCCTTATGCGTTTGCGTGCATTACATTTGAAATCAAAGTGCACACTTGATTCTTTGGGCCATCACGCATTGAAATGCGCGATTGATGGTCCGAGAACCAAGGACCATATCCCTTTGAGTCGTGCACATGATGAGGGATAGGATTGGTGCATACATTGCTTGAATTGCATTGCCATGCTATGCCTTGCCCTCTGCTGCTGTCAATTGCAGGTTCTGCAGACATTATTTGCCGACCGGCAGTGTTCAGTGCCGACCGGCAATCCATTGGTGGCCGATAGCTTCACCAACAGCCGATGATTACACACTACTGCCGGTGGTCATTCTACTCAGCCGGTGGTGTTCCCCAATGTCCAGGGAAGCAATTCTGAGACTTTGGCAATCTTTAAAGAGGCAGAGCATGGAAAACAGAGGCAGCCTATGCATGGCAGTGCACTTCCGAGCAAGACCCGAGCACGCGCGCATCGGACCCTCTCCCCGAGGCCCCTTTTATTGCTTTTCTTATGCTTAGTTAATTTGTTAATTAATTAGGTGATCTGTAATAAGTAATTAGCTAGGATAGTTAATTCATTATTCGAATTGTATTATTCTTTTGGTCCTTCCGAGCGAGGGCAAATCTGTAATAAGTGTGGGTGAGTGTGTGCATGTCTTCCAACCCCCACTTCTTTCTCCCTTTTACTTACCTGCTTTGATGGTTAGTAATAGGACATGTTTAATTTAGCATACCTTATGTTATACATGCGTGCATCATTCATCAGTATTGCATGCACCAGGTTCGGCACGTCATGCTAACTGCATTAGCATTGCAAATCTAACTTGAACACATGATGTTGGTGTATTTCACATGCCATCTCTAAATTAGCCGAGCCTATTCTAGTGACATTTTGTATGCATTGCATTAGGCACTTAACATGGACTTGGATCATACATTGATTTGTTAACGAGTTCCCTGTTTTGGCTTGGAGTACCATGTAAGTATTTATGCTTTAGCATATGTAACAAGCCCGCGGGGGACCTCGCTACAGCTCGGACTCGACTCTTCGCAGTTACGGTTCTAAGTCTGAACCAAAGAGTCCAAATCCGGCAAATCGTTTTAGGAAAATTGATTTTTTGAAAGAAGTACCAAACATGGACTGCTTTGCCAGATACAAAGTCGCCACCTAAATATTTTATTTTGGGAAATTTAGGAAACCCTGACTCGGTGCCAAAAGGCCACGTGTCCGTCATAACCAAAGTTGCCTCGGCTCGGGAACTTGGGTACGATTGGGAAAGGTCACTTCGTGAGGCACCCCTGCTCGCGCCGGTATGACCGGCCTCTAAACTAACCATGATTATCAATTTTTGAAAACATTGTGAGTTCTTATTCCGGTTAATTAGCCTAGGTTACTAATGGTGATGCACGCAGCATACAAGTATAGACCGGGTCGCCCGAATCATTGGAAAACAAAACATTTCATGCTTGTTTTTGAAAAATGGTTTGCTAACCCGCAGGTAGGCTTGAAAACATTTGATGTTTTATCCAATTCAGATAACACAAGCCTCGCACCCACAGGCATTCAGGCAATTTAATCACATAAGCACATAGCCTTCATGGTTAAGCATGCTATTTCATGGCAACACTTACACGGCACTGCAAAGGATGCTAAAGCATAAAGCTTACCGGGTACTCCAAGCCAAAATAGAAACTACATTAGAAATCATGCATGATCCTAAGTATACAGAAATGCCTAATGCAACACATGCGAAATGCAACTATAGCAGGCTCGGCTATTCTAAGATGGTATATGAAATGCTAGAACTACCATGTATTCAATTTGGAATTGAAAGTACGACGCAGTTAGTATGGTGCGCCGAGCCCGGTGCATGCAATGCAGATGAATGATGCAAACATGCTGTCATACCATATGCTAATTTAAACATGCCCTAATCTAACCACCATAAGCGGATAAATAAAAGGGAGAAAGACGTGGGGTTGGAAGACATACAACACACACACGCACACTTATTACAGTTGTGCCCTCACTCGGAGGGTTCGAATAAATATACAGTCCAAATATTACAGTCCCGAATAAAAGAATATTACAGTCCGAAAATATTACAAAGTCCTAATTAATTAACAAATTAACTATGAAAGCAAATAAAACTGGCGTGCAAGCCAGGGACCGCCTTGCTTCTGATAGATGATGCATGTCCGGGTTGTCTTGCGCGGAAATCCACCGGAATGCCCCAATTAGCCTCTGTTTACACCTGTTCTCGAAATGTGTGCCAAGCCCCAAAAAGGTTGTTGATTCTTTGTTTTGCTGCAACAGAGAGCAGGAAAGGGGCATAGCAATGTATCTGCACAAATATATGCATGTCTCGATCTTCGTGCCACCAATCACGCATACCGAGGCATGATGGCCGAGGAATCGAAATGCACAACTCAATATAAGATGAATGTACATGAAACTTACAGCTAAAACCTAACTCCATCATGGATAATCCGGAGTGTCGGTGACTGGAGAATTGAGACACATTCCGTCACTCGGAGTACGAAATGTACCTCGTTTCCCGTGCCCGGGCTAACTCCTATTCCGGACACGATGCAATATGCATGATATGCATGAAATGTAGCTAATATATAATCCTAACATACACAGAATGTTATGAAAATGAGATGCCTCGAAATACGTGCACACGGGCACGCAAACCGAGGCGATGATATGTGTCTCGAAATGCGTGCACGCGGGCACGCAAACTGAGACGATGATATGTGTCTCGAAATATGTGCACGCGGGCACGCAAACCGAGGTGATGATATGTGTCTCGAAATACGTGCACGCATGCACGTAAACCGAGGCGATGATATTGTCTCGAAATATGTGCACGCGGGCACGCAAACCGAGGCGATGATATGTGTCTCGAAATACGTGCACGCGGGCACGCAAACCGAGGCGATGATATTGTCTCGAAATACGTGCACGTAGGCACGCAAACCGAGGCGATGATATGTATCTTGAAATACGTGCACACAGGCACGCAAACCGAGGCGATGATATGTGTCTCAAAATACGTGCACGCGGGCACGCAAACCGAGGCAATGATATGTGTCTCGAAATACGTGAGAGGCGCAGTGCACAATAGTAAAGAGAAGCGCGACGCACAGTAGCAGAAACTGTGCACACGAGTGCAACGGCAGCAAAAACGGTGCACACGTGGGTGTACAGTAGCAGGTACGGCGCACGCGAGTGCACAATAGCAAGAACGGCACACGCAAGTGCACAGTAACAGAAGCAGCGCACACGGGAAAAATGGTTGATGTCAAGCTAACGTGAGCAAGTAACGGAAGGGCGCGTGTTTGCGCGTGGGAGAGTGGTGGCAGAAAGTTGGATGTGCCGAGTAGAAAAATGGTGCGTGAGAGCGCGTGAGGAGGTTTTCTGCGACAGGCAAGGTGGCATTGGAACTAGAGGACAATTCCTAGCATTGTAGGAAATTTTTTTATAAAATTTTGGTCAACAATGATGACGAAACAGTGTTGTTGAACAAAGAATGGTGTATTGATGAAAAATAAAAAGAGATGTTATAATGCCACTGTATACGGGCAATAAGCAAGAGAAAAGAGGAGTTAGGGTTCAAGACCTAAGCTATGATATCATGTTACAATGGTTGAAAAAAAGGGAGAGAAAGAGAAAGTTTTGTATATGTATTATATTTCTATAACAATGCACAAGGGTTCCTATATATAGGAGAGTGATACAACCACATATGGATTCTTAAGTGATACTGTTGAGTATCCACACCATGTGAAGTTGGCCATGGAAGTCAAATGTAGCTGCTGTAGCAGATTTTGGGCTATAGACTTTCTGAAGCTTTTTCAACCTAGGGTGGCGGTGTTAATAGCTTTTTCAACCTAGGGTGGCGGTGTTAATAGCTTGCCATTTATTTTGGTAGTTGGTTGTTGGCAAGCAAATGCTGATTTTTTGGCTACCCCGTTTGTGCATAAATAGGGAGAGTTATAAGTTGAGTTGATTATCAGAAGGGAAGGAAAAAAGGGAGTTGTGGGAAGTGTATGAGAGTTTTGAGTTAAGTAGAAAGAGTGAGAGACTCATCCTCCTCTGTTTTGTATTTTTACTCTGTTTATAGTACATTCTCTATCTCTCTCGTGGACGTAGGTATTGGGCCGAACCACGTAAATATTTGTCTCATTTGTATGTGTGATTGTTTTTTAATTATCTTTCTAGGTGTGTTTAATCCCAACAGATACAACTAAATATGAATTTCTAAAATGGATCCCTATCCATATCAGCACTGATTGAGAGCTCTACTGAGCTGGCAACCACTTCTTTTTTTAAAAAAAAAAAAAAGGGAAAAAAGACAAAACAAAGGAAAGAAAAAGATAATTTAATGCTAGTTTAGAGCTACTCTTTTAGAGCTCTAAAGCAATTTTCCTATCCATATATACATTAACGACAATGATTCATCCCTCTAATTTGGGATCACTAATTGACTACTAATGAGGTGAAAATTTCAACAAAAAAAAAAAAAATAGAAGAGCAAAATATCCCATCATGTAAAATCCACACCACTTTAAAACTATTAATGCTCCTCTATTTAGTGGTCTCACTCATTTTTGCATACATTAACAAAGCTAACTGAAGATGGAAAAGAGACAGCTTTATAGCTGGATTACTAGCGTCCTCAAGTCTTGTCACATAATTGCAAAAGTTGCATACATGTATTGGGAGCACTAATTAGTGCTCCCACTAATTAGGTGGCAGTGGGTTCCGCCATTAATGATGTGATGTTTTGGTCTTGGAGTTGTATTTTTTTTTTTTTTACTTTTTTAATACATTAGTGCTATTAGTGGTGATGTTTTTAGTGGGATGAATCATTGTTGTTATCCAAAATAGTTGAATGAAAATGGGCAAGGAATAACACTTGGAAAATTGTTGATTTGACAAAGAAATACTTCACATATAATTGGCAGCCTCATAGAGATGCAAAAGGTACAATAATTTCGATTTGAACAAGTGGAGAGAGACTTCAATGAAATTAGTATGACACACTACTAGAAGAACACAACATACCACAATTAATGTAATGTGATTTGGTTCTCTTTGTTTTTTTGAGCTGTGTTTGGCTCTTGAATTCGGAGAGAGATTTGGTTATTCAATTTCAATTAAAAAATGATGCTGTGTTCGTTGAAAAAATAATTAAGTTTTAAAAATTAAATTTAATAAAAAGACACAAAACTAAGGGACACATGTTAATTAAGAGATATGTTGCTAGCGAACGGTTGTTTAGAGTCCTATATACATAGAGGACCACCCTTCACTTCCAGATTTATATGGAAAACATTTTCCCCTCACTTTATATATTCAATATTGTATTATTATTTTTCATATATATTTTTGAACAACTTTGATTATAGATGATTCAATAACCTTTTTGGTGTATCCAAAGTGATTTTGGTTGAATCTTTTTGGAGTTGTTTATTGTCCAGTAATACCTTCGCATGAGGACGCAATAGCAGCTTTAGTATAGCGATTACACTTCTCTCACAATCGTAGGCCAAATTTTATACTTTCTTTTAATTTACATATTTGAATTAGGGAGTTGTTATTCTCACTCTACTTTATTCTAAATATATTCATTCTTTACTCTAAATACATTAATATCCTTGAAATTTTGATCTTTTCGAGTGTATTTTGTGTGTCAAAATGATATTAATATAACAATATATAATAAAAGATAAAGAAAATAGTGTATTTGAAATAAACTTGAGTGGGAATCGTGATTCCCTTGAATTAATATATTTGTGATTTTCTGTGATAATAATATTATGATATATTGCGTCAAATTTCCTAATAATATCCTTCCTGCAACAAAAAAAAAATCTAATAACTTATTATCTGATTTTATAATCAATGTTTTCTCTTGCTGAATATATAAAATCAGTTACCCAAATTAGTGAAGATCAGCCCCGCATTGATCTATCTCTAGTTCTCATTGTTTCAATGTGAAAGAGATGAAAAATATATGAGAATAAGCAAAGAGCGAATGCAACACAATCATTATTACCGATTACAAAAAAGTTGTGTGAAGAGTGCCATACATTTTATTGCGAAATGAAGATACCAAAGTGTTGTTCTCCACCTTACTAATTTGATAGATTTAAATAGAGTGGAGACAACTTATTGAACTCATAGCGCTTTTAGTCACACACCGAAATTCACTACTTGAGGAGGAATTTCTTGAACCACAAAGCTGAATGTTTGGGGTATCTTTTTAGTCCATCTTTGAAATCTACATAGACAATTCCGAACCTTTGGGTGTAACCGGATAACCATTCAAAATTGTCAAGAAATGCCCATGTAAAGTAACCTTTAACCTTCACGCCAGCCCTGCAAAGATTCATAAAATTAATGTAGACTTGTCTTTGACAATGATACATTTATGTTGAAGTTAAGAACAACTTCAATAAAAAAATTAAAAAAATTAAAAAAAAAAAACCAATAAAAAGAATCATAAATGAAGAAGAAACAAATCTCATTACTAAAAGAACCCTAGAAGTAGGGATGTAAAATTGGCTCGGCTAGGCGGGCCTTGGGCCTTGGGTCCCGTCAAAAATTGGATTGGGCCGAGCTGGGGGGTTTCAGGCTGGGCTTGGAATGGGCTTGACCTTTTTTTTTTTTTGCCTCACCAAAACAGCTTGCAGGTGATGTTGGGCGTTGGGCAAGTCGGGCCTTGTACTAGGCCTCAATCTAGGCCTGGATCGGGCTTGTCGAGTCGGGTCAAGCTAGAAAAAGTATGGCTCAAGCCCTAGCCTGGGGGGTCGGGTTAGGCCTAGTTAGGCCTCGAGTCGAGGGCCATTTTTACACTTCTACCTAGAAGCAAGAAACAAAGCTCACTACTTCGACAAAATCTTAATCAGGTACTATAACATATTAGAGTTTTAGAAACCAAATATTTTGGTCTCTAAAAGTGAATATTTTGTTGCAAAAGACATTTAGGAATCAATTTCTATCGTCATGAGGATAGTTGTTAAAAGGTCATCTCAAAAAGTCGAAAACAAGGCTTTTAGTGATAAAATTTTGAAAATGTCACTAATAAATTGACTTTTAGGGACAAAATAATTTGGTCTAAAAATGGTTTATTTTTTGAGATAGAAAATTTGGTCCCAAAAGAATAATAATTCATTACTAATGTCTAATTTTCGTTGCTAAAAATATAATCACGATACTTTTCGCAATAAAAATATTTGATCTCTAAAAAATATTTTTATCCCTAAATTTTGGTTTCTAAGACCTTAATTTTTTGTAGTGAGGTTGTAAAGTGGTTAAAGGGGTGTATTGTATTGTTTTCCCTTGATAGCTTTTAGTGAAGTTACAAATTGGTTTTTTTTTTAACCAGAAGCTACAAATTGGTTGAGGATGAAAAAGAAGAAACAAATTTCACTACTGAAGACACCCTAGAAGCAAGAGACAAAGCTCACTAAGTTGATAAAATCTTAACAAATCTGTAACATAGTTGAGTATTTAAAGAACCATATATAAGAATTATTATTATTATTATTATTATTATTATTATTATTATTATTATTATTATTATTATTATTATTATTATTATTATTATTATTATTATTATTATTATTATTATTATTATTATTATTATTATTATTATTATTATTATTATTATTATTATTATTATTATTATTATTATTATTATTATTATTATTATTATTATTATTATTATTATTATTATTATTATTATTATTATTATTATTATTATTATTATTATTATTATTATTATTATTATTATTATTATTATTATTATTATTATTATTATTATTATTATTATTATTATTATTATTATTATTATTATTATTATTATTATTATTATTATTATTATTATTATTATTATTATTATTATTATTATTATTATTATTATTATTATTATTATTATTATTATTATTATTATTATTATTATTATTATTATTATTATTATTATTATTATTATTATTATTATTATTATTATTATTATTATTATTATTATTATTATTATTATTATTATTATTATTATTATTATTATTATTATTATTATTATTATTATTATTATTATTATTATTATTATTATTATTATTATTATTATTATTATTATTATTATTATTATTATTATTATTATTATTATTATTATTATTATTATTATTATTATTATTATTATTATTATTATTATTATTATTATTATTATTATTATTATTATTATTATTATTATTATTATTATTATTATTATTATTATTATTATTATTATTATTATTATTATTAATTTGATTTATGTTGATTTGTTATGGTGTTTTGATGATTTATGTTTCATCTATCTTTTTAGGATTATTTTAGATTGTTTATGGGTCAATTTATAATTTATTAAATAGTGTTGGGATTATAATTATATTATACTCCCAACATTATTTACATCATGCCTTCAGGCACGGGCATACGCTAGTTAAATGATAAAGCAGATTGTTTTGCAAGTTGACAAGGCAAACAATCAAAATTATCTGGAAGTACATGACCAAATTGACCACTAGAAACCAAGGACTTTAACCTACTAACAGAAATATGCCCTAAGAAACAATGCTAAAGATGAAAAGGGGACAAAGAAGAATCAGGTGCAGCAGTAGCTAACTGTGTGGAGTTCAGAACATAAAGGTGAATGAGCTCATAGAGACGTCCATGCTTACGGCCGATCCCAAGAGTCTGTCTCGTTTGAGGGTCTTACACCAAACAACCATTAGCAAAAAATGTGATAGTTAGAACATGCTCACATAATTGACTAATGGAGATAAGTTTAAGGTAAGAGTAGGGATATGATAAACATGTGGTAAAGACAAATGAGAGGTGGAAATAGAACCAACATGACTTACGGACATGGGAGACCCATCAACAGTATGAATTGAGGGAATATGAGCACGAAGAGAGATAGAAGAAAATATAGTAGAACTGAAAGTCATATGATTACAGCATGCGGAGTCAAAATACCAAGAAGATGCACCTGAAGTCACAGACAAAGTAGTAGGGGGATGTGTACTAGAGGTAGAGAGAAATTGTTTGAATAGGGCCTCAACATCAATTTGAGAAAAGACAAGGGCAGATGGATCTAGAGACTCAGAGAAATCCTCAGAAGTAGCAGCAACTGTGCAATGAGTAGGCAAAGATCTAGACTGATTCCTAGGACGATGTGAACTACCCTTAGAAGAGCCACCCCGATAGGAAAAACTAGTGAAAGATGATCAGGAGGGATTGTGAAAACAATCCTGCTGCAGATGACCAGGACCAATTTTGTTGTAGTACTTGCAGGGTCTGACTGGGTAATGAACCAGAAGATGAGTATAAGGAAGACCCCGATTCTGACAATAAATGCAGGCAGTGGATCACTGGGTCGACATGGAAGAACTCAAAATAGGTAGTGAGAGCCATGAGAAATTGAACCAACTGCTGCTGATTACGATATGTAGTGAATAAAATTGCACCTTTAGTGTGAGGCCATGTAGGCTCTGAGAGAGCAAGCTGGTCTTAAATAGAATACATCTGAGAAAGAAAGTCATTAATAGACTGACTAGGGTCTTGACGCATGCGGTGAAATTAACTCTGAAGTTGACACTGATGGACAAGACCGGTAGTCTGGTATCGTTCTTTCAAAAAATCCCAAATGTTTTAGCAGGAGTGGTAATAGAGTCAAGTTGAAAAAGTCCAAATTGAAGACTAATAGAGGTAACAGAGGTATTCTGAAGCCAGGTAATGATCTGGTAGTTCTTACTGTTTTAATCTTCTAATCGGTTTTCATACTTAGCAGCAGTTTCAACAGCTTCTTTCACCGGTTTGGTCACATCCCCGGTGATAATACGCCAGAGTTTCCTACCTTTTAGGAAAGAAGACATGGCTTGGGCCCACAGAACATAATTGGATCCAATAAGCATAACAGAAATTGAACGTAAGGCATCATGGCGATCCATAATAATATGGTGGTAGGACAAAATAAATAAGAACAGAACTGTAGGAGAAAAAATTAGATAAAACAGATCGTACCAATGAGTCTAGAAGGCCAAAAATATATGGAAAATGACTGAATGGTATAAAGATGACATTAGCAGGAGGCTGGATGATGTCAGCAGAGGCACGTTGCACAATAGTAGGCGGAGGTGCGGTGCACAATAGTAGGGAGGGGCGTGTAATGCATAGTAGCAAGAACGGAGCACGCGGATGCGCAGTAGTAGGAACGATGCACTCTGGTGTACGGTAGCAAAAGCGGCGCATGTGGGTGCACGGTAGCAGGAACGGTGTGTGATATCCAAGCCTATATTATGCTTAATTATGCATGTGATTATGTGTTTGATATGAATTTGTAAGTTTAATCATGTGATTTATGTGATTTTGAATTCGTATTTGTTGAACTGTAGAAAAATCTGTTGCAATTACAACTTTGAACTGAAATTGACAGCCTTAGAGACGTGATAAGCCAAAACCGACTTCATATCTATGTTTAGCATGATTTTTAGAGCTTATTGAGAAATTTTGAAAAATTACGATTCGAAATGAATTAATTGAGTTTAATTAGCCAAACCTAGATTAAGCCAACCTAAGTTGGTTTAGCCTAAGTTATATGTATCTATATGAGCCTTAGTAGAGTCTTGGGCTTAGACTCAAGAATATATCCTGGAGAGATAGAAACAAGAGAAAGAAAGAGAGAAAGAGCAGAGCTCCAAGAATTGTAGAAGAGGGCTAAGAATTTGAAGAGATTCAAAGGGAAATTGAAGGATTTGAGTTAAGATATATGAATTCAACTATAATATTTGTAGATACTTCATCTTTTGAATGAAATCACGAAGAAATTGAAGATTTAAAATCTAAATGAGTTAGGATTTTGAGGTTGTGTGATTCTTTGAACCAAACTTAAGAAATTGGGCTTTGATCTTCAAGATTTTGTTTGATTTAAGTTTAATCTTGTGATTCATTCATGAAATGAGTTCTAGGGTTTGTAAAATACAAGATTTTGTGTGAGAAACATCCATGTATAAAGTGTATCCACATGATCTTGGTCATATATTATGAAATCTTGAATTTATGAAAACGATGAGACTTTGATTTTGCACTCTAAGCAAGGTTGATGTGTTTGAGTTGTGATTACACTTGTATAAGGTTAGTATTTCATGTTTTAAAGGAAGATTACTTGAGATCTTGACTTGGATTTTGGTTTGAAAACTCAAACTTCGAACCATTTTCGGGCTGTCCGATTTTGCCTAGACCACACGAGCAGTAGAGGTTTTCACTATGCTCTTTAGGCGCTCGAGCTGCCAGTGTTTCTGCTCAAGCGGATTTGGGCCGCACAAGCAATGAAGACTTCCGCA